CCTACAATAATACTTGTACCGCCTAATTCACAGAGTCTCTAGGAGGAAAAGTGCTTTGTTAAGCTACTATAGAAATGTGAATTGTTCTTATGACAACTGTCTGGAGAGGTGAATTAATAAACATTCCTTCTGTGCTCTCAGGTTACACTTTCAGTTTCTGAAATTTCTCTAGACACAGCTACCCCTGTAGTTTTCAATTTCCCTGCTGCTTAGAAATTACACTAAGGAGACAAAAATGATAATTTGGCCTCCTCATTGTATTTGGGTCTGCCTCTGCCTGAAAACATTCCCCTTGGCTGCTTCTTAAAATGAACAGAGCTGTTTCTCTAATTGCCCGTTCCCACTGTTTGATCTTTAGATGGTAATTATGAGTCAAAAGCCTTTTCTCTTCCTTGGAGGAATTTAAAAGGAAATTAGGAGGGAAAAGGATAAGATGTGTGGACTAGACTGCTAAAATAATAATAATAACAATAATAACTCATTTTATATAATGCCTTACAGTTTCCAAAACCTGTTCTTCACAACAACCCCATCAAGAAGATATAGATCATGATCACAAAAAAAAAAAGATATAGGGCATGAGTATCATTATGCCCATTTCATAAATAAAGAAACTGAGGCTCTGAGGAGTTATGGGACTTGCCTGCAGGACTCAACCACCCAGGTTGTCTGACTCCATATCTAATGTTATGGGGCCTCTTTGACAGAATCAACTCCACCTTAGTACCAAAATGGAACCTGGCCTGCACATTCCGAGGGCCAGAAATCTCGTGAAAAAGCTAATATGTCCAGGTTTGAGAAAAAATAGAGAGCAAAGTACTTAAAAGTACCTCCAGCATTTTCCCTCAGTTTTTCTGTTCTCATCTATAAAATTTAAGTACTCTGAAGCAGGGATTGTCTTGATATACACATCTGGAACATTTTTTGTTGTTGTTCAGTCATGAACAGTCGTATCCGACTCTTTGTGACCCCATTTGGGGTTTTCTTGGCAAAGATCCTAGAGTGGTTTGCCATTTCCTTCTCTAGCTCATTTTACAGATGAGGAAACTGATATAAATAGGGGTAAGTGACTTGCCCAGAGTCATACCGCTAGTAAGTATCTGAGGCTAGATTTGAAAGCAGGTCTTTCTGAACTCCAGGCCTGGCACTCTATCCACTGCATTACCTAGCTGCCCCATCTGGCACACCGCAAGTACTAACACTTCTTATCTGTTTTTGTTACTTGGTCTACAAGGGCTTCAAGAAGATTCCGCCTTCTCATCTCATCACAGATCTAGGGCTGGAAGGGACCTCAGAAGCCAGAGTCTAACCTCCTGTCACTTCACAGATGAGGATACCAAGTCACACAGGCAGTGAGTAAGAAAAGTAAGATTAGAACCTTGGCTGAATCCTGAGGCAGTACTCTTTCTACTCTAACCTCACATCCTTCCTTAAAACTGTATTGCCAGGGCAGCTAGGTTGCACAGTGGTTAGAGCTCCGACCTTGGACTCAGGAGGACCTGAGTTCAAATCTGGCCTCAGACACTTGACACTTTCTAATTGTGTGACCTTGGGCAAGTCACTTAACCCCAATTGCCTCGCAAAAAAAAAAAAAACAACAAACAAACTATGTTGCCCCCAAACTAACAGCAAGACTACAAATGGAAGAGAAAACCTAGAACTTGTGCTTTCCTGCAGGTGGTGGTTTGTTTTTCAATTAGATTCAGTTCAACAAACATTTATTAAGCATATCACTATGTGCTAGGCACTGTTCTAGTTGCTGGGAAAGGGAGAGGAGAAGACAGAACAGGACAGGAGAGGAAAGAAGAGGACAGAAGAGAAGAGGCGAGGGAAGGGAGGGGAAGAGAAAGAGAGAAGGGGAGGAGAGGAGAGGGGAGAAGAGAAGAAGAACAACCCCTACCCTGAAGGAGCTTACATTCTACCTATAAACATACATAGGTAAATACAAGGCAATTTCAGGAGGGAAATTCTTTTTTCTTTTGAGGGTAGAAGACATAAACAGGGCAGCTAGGTTACACAGTGGATAGAATGCTGGGCCTCGAGTCAGGAAGTCTCATCTTCCTGAGTTCAAATCTGGCTTCAGACACTTCCTAATTGTGTGACCCTGGGCAAGTCACTTAACCTTGTTTGTCTCAGTTTCTTCATCTGTAAAATGAGTCAGAGAAGGAAATGGTAAACCACTCCAATATCTTTGCCAAGAAAAACCTCAAATGGGGTCACAAAGAGTCAGACTAGACTGATAGAAGTGAACAACAACAACAGAAGTTATAATGGTTAAACTGTCATCCACGTGGCTTTCAGGAATGGAAGATTGCCACAGGGCAGAAATCATTTAGCTTGCTATAACGACAGTATTATAGTTCTTGGGAATGACCCCTGCCTTTAAAATACACAGCCTGCCTCCCCCCTCTATTGGCCTTTCCTCCATTTTTTGTTTGTGTGCCATTCTCCAGATCTGGCTTCCTCCACCCCCATGACAAGAAAACAGAGCAGAGGATATCCCGTCACCAAGTTTCTGTTTCCTTTAGCAAAAACAAAAGGAAGTGCCCTGCCTTGGAGTTAACCAAGTGCTGGAATTCCACAAGGCCATGTTCCATCACTCCGTTCAGAGCTCAGTGCCTGGACCACAACCTTGCTGCCCATCTGGCTGCAAGATGGGGTCTGAGCTTTCAGTCACCTCTACCAAGAGTGCTAAGGACATGAAGTCAGACACTGGGGAGGCAGCATGGCACAATGGAGTCGGATGACCTGGGTTTGCTCTGCTGGACACTGAACAAGCCTGTAGGTCCCATTCTCTCATCTGTAAATTGTTAGACTGGAGAGCCTCTGAGGGGACAACTCTGAATTGATGATTCTATAAAAGCCCTCTCTGGCATTTCCCAGCTATATAACTTTGGATAAGTCAACACCCAAAGTCACACAATTTGTGTTATCACCCTCTTCTGAAGCCTGGCTTTCCTAATCTATAAAATGGGGGTAACATTTGCATATCTCATAGGGTTATTGTAAGGAAAATACTTTCTTTGAAGATCATGATTTTACCCCAGCAGCACCAGGTAAAACCAAACGACAAATCATTTCTTCATGGAGAAGTAAACGTTCCAAAGTTGGGTAAACTACATAAGCTCTCCAGGATTTAAGTGACCAGGACACAAGGGACTCTCTAGGTCATTCAACTAACCCTAGTTCAGCCCTAGAGGTCTCAGTGCCTCCAGCTCCATCCCCTCAACGTATTTAGGGCTCCACTTGTCCAATTCTTTCTCTGAACTCTTCATGGCAGACAACTTTTGTTTTTGTATATCCCCAGTCACAGCACAGTTCTAAAGTCCTGTGTATAGAATGCCAATTAAATGCCTGCTGAATTGAATTAAATTGAATGAAGCATTATCTTTAGAGGTGCTATTAAAATGGTTATATTAACTAGGAAGAGAGAAGGAGGTCCTTGGGGCTTCCTCTAACAGTCTCCCATGATCATATTTTAGCTTTTCCAGTACTGTTTATCAGATTAGCTTAGTCCTCAGGGTCTGACACATAAGACATTTACACATAAGTAAATTTTAATGGGAGTAGGGAAGGAAATAGCAACAAAATCCCCTAGAGGTAGCACAGAGCAGGGGACACTAGAAAATAGCTGGATACTTTTTAAAAGAAAATGAAAAGTTATTGGGAAATATTTAATAAAATAAAAATATTTTTTGAAAAAGAAAATGACAAGAAATGCAAAAGGGGACAAAAACAAACAGCAATTTTGATACTGCCTCATTCAATTTCTCTGTCTCTTCATATGTGTGTATATATGGTATAGGTATATATATATATATATATATATATATGTATATATATGTATATATGTATATATATGTATATATATGTATGTGTATATATATACATGTACACACAAATATATATGTATTAAATATATTAAATACATATTAAATATATTAAATATACATATATGTATTAAAGCTATATGTAACAGTAGTTCAGTTACTTATAAAATCCTTACTTTTTTATATACTAAAATTTTGGTTTTGCTAATGATTACTAAATTCATAATTTACAAAATAGCTGGGTAATCAGGAGCCCAGGGGAAGAATGGCTTGGCACAGTCATTGCCCAGGGATTCAGAACCAATTACCTTTTCTTTTTTTTAATGATCTTTTAAAATTATCAAACATTTTCCACTTCCACTTCCACTTCCCTCCCACAAAGAGAGAGAGAGAGAAAGGAGAGAGAGAGAAGAGAAAGAGGAGAGAGACAGAGACAGAGAGCAAGAGAGAAAGAGAGAGAGAGAGAGAGAGAGAGAGAGAGAGAGAGAGAGAGAGAAGGGAGAGAGAGAGAGAGAGAGAGAGAGAGAGAGAGAGAGAGAGAGAGGGAGAGAGAGAGAGAGAGAGAGAAGGAGAGAGAGAGAGAGAGAGAGAGAGAGAGAGAGAGAGAGAGAGAGAGAGAGAGAAAGCGCTCTTAGAAATCATCTAATCCAATCTTCTGATTTTACAGATGCATACTGATCTTTGCCCTGCCTCCCTCATAGGTATACTGTAAGCATCCAAAGAGAGGATAGATGTGGTGAACAAATTTCATAAACTGTAAAGCACTATACAAATGCACTTAACCATGACATACACTCAACAAAAATTACTCAAGGTTTCACAGTCAAAAGACAAAGCATTCAATAATAATAATTAAAAACATCTCCGCATCTCCAGCACTGAAAGGTTTACAAAGCATTGTCTACAACCCTTTCAAATAGATGATAGAAGTATTAACCCCATTTTGAAGTTGAGGAAAGCTGAATCTCAAGTATGTAACCCACCCATGGTCACACAGCTAAAAGCCAAAGCCAGAATCTAAACTCATGTCTCCCCAAGTCTAGCAGTCATTCCATGAAAGCATGGGAAGCTAGCAGGTACCAGCATTCAGTTCTTTGTTTCCCCCAGGAATTCCGGACCAATGCCAGCTGTAGCCCTAATAACCAAGTTCATTTCTGAGGCCCCAGTTACCTGAACGTTTTCTTCTGTCACCTCAATTTCAGCTGTATATATGTAGTCAATCAGCTTACTCAGCGTCTGCCCATCCACATCTTTGATTTCAATCTTCTTGGCTTTACTTTCACTCATGTCACCTATGGTTCAAAAACAAAAATATGAGCTTGGAGGTCTTTGTTCTGTTTTCTTTATCTCTGCCCTCGAACAGCTGATGAGCTTAAAAGCCTCCAGACCTCACATGAGGGGCTCTTGACCTGGGATCTGTAAACTTGTTTTGCTTTTTTCCCCATATTTTGATAACTCTATTTCAATATAATTGTTATTCTTTGTAATCCTGTGTACTTTACTCTGTGCCTTTAAAAGCATTATTGAGATGGGGTCCACAGGCTTTGCTAGACTGCTCAAAGGGATCGATGCCACAAAAAAGGTAAAGAACCCCTGCTCCTGACCATGATCCTAAAAACTTACCAGGTTGTTCCTTTGACCCATATGTTTTGACTTTTCACTGCTCCCCTACAATCTTTTTACTTATATTAACTTCCCACAGGACCATGTTTGTTATAAAAGCCAATCTTTGAGTGCGTCTAAAATGGATTTTTTTTTGAGCAGATACTTTGGAGAAAGCAGCTTCGATTTCACTTTGGACCCACCAGACCTTTAGTGACAATACTAAAATGTATGCTTCTTGGGGCCAGCAGCTCTGTCATTTCTGCCTTTATATCCAGTTTCCTGGACATGGAACGTGCTCAAAGACTGTCTGTGGAATTGAATTAATACTTCACTCATTCATTTCTCAATTATTCAACAAACATATCAAGCTCACCTACTGTGAGCAAAATACAGCACCAGGCATTGAGGAAAATACTTATAGGAAGCCAGGACCTGGCTCCAGAGGTCTAAACACACATCTAGAGCTAGAAGGGAGACCATCTAGTCTAACCTTTTGATTTTACAAAAAATGAAACCAAAGCCCAGGGAAATTAAACAGCTAGTCCAAAATCACACAGGTAGTGAGTAGATAGGGCCCCTAGCTTCATACAGATTAATTATAATACACAAAATTACATGACAAGTTCATCAGAGAAGTTCAAAGTATTATAATAAAAATAACAATATTAATAATAATGTCAGTTAAAATTTATATAGCGTTTTAAGGTTTGCAAAACACTTTATATACATCATTTGATCTGATCCTCACAATAACCCTATGAGGTGGGTTCTGGGTTTCAAAAGGCTTAAGTGATTATGCCAGGGTCCCACAGACAGTAAGCACAAGGGGAAAGATTCAAATTCTGGTCTTCCAGATTCCAGACTTTTATTGACTAGATCATACTATACAAAGTGTAAAGTGTTACTGACTGGAGGGGATCAAGGAAGTTTCCATGAAGGAGGTGGCAGCTGGGTTGGATTTTAAAGTTTGGGAGGTTTTCAACAGGTAAAGGCAGGAAGGGAAGACATTGTAAAAAATGAAAACATGGCAAACAAAGGCAAGGAAGAGGAAGAGAAAATAGTGTTTGTGAGATAAGGAAGGTCTATAAGGTGAAACACGGAAACAAATATAAAATAAGGCAAGAAAATTAGGGCAATGCTGTATTATGGAGGGCCTTAAATGTCAGGTAAAGGATTATGAGCTTTAAATAAGAGGCAATAGAGAACTACTGATGACCATGATCAGATCTATGCATTAGAAATATTTTTTTGAGGGAGTAGAGACAGTTTATAAAGTGCTTTACTATCCGTTATCTCATTTGAATATGAAAATGACTCTGTAAGGGAAGAAGGGCAGGTCCTCATTTTAGAGAGGAAGAAATTGAGGTTCGAAGGGGCATTGACTGGCCATGAATCAACCAGTGGTAGAGACAGGAGTGGATCCCAAGTCTCCCGGGCCAGGGCTCTTTCCACCATACAACACTGTCGATACAAGACAGTCAGTCTCAGGTTGTAAGTCCCTAGAGGGCAGGAACTATCCATCTCTTTATATAAAGCCCAGAAACAGTGTGTTTAATCGGTGCTGAGGCTGGCAAAGATTGCATTCTAGGTGGGGGCTTTCTTTCTCCAGGTCCCAAGAACTATGAACCAATAAATCTGCCTATAATACTCCATGTGTAGTAAGCAAGTTATTCAAAGCCAAAATTCATTCAACAAGAGCTATTTATTTCACAGAGAAAGGAGAAGGCAGAGATCTCTCTACTGTGACTGAAATAAAGAGCTGCTTCACTAGGAGGGAAGAGAAATGTAGAAGCACTTCTGTAATCATGCATGTGAAAACAAGAGTCCGGAGTGATTGTTTTCTCTCTGTGGAATTCATGCATCAGAGCCAAAAAATTAAAGTACAGGCCAGTGTGTGGGCTAGACGCCTACCTCCAAGCTGCGCATGCCTCTAAGGACGCCTCCGCCAGTCCACGAAGTGCAGACTGACAGAGTTCTAGATCAGAATTATTCAGGAAGACTCAGAGAACAAATATCAACCTGTGCCTCACTCGCCGCTGAACTAGATGGGCTAGAAAAGAGGTTCTGCTTGCCTGGCCTCTCTGTTCCCTCCTCTCCCCGGCCTCTCATCTGAACAATCTAGTAATCTCCTCTCTCTATCTTGGCCACCAGCAAAGTTCTAAATGGAGAGAATTCTAGGTGGTGTGGGTGCTGGGGAAGATGGGAGAGAAGATAAATCCCAACCAATCAATCAATCAACAAGCATTTATGACTCATCTACTATGTACCAGACTCAGTATTAGAAGCTGGGGATACAAAGACTTTTAATTAATATAAGTATTCTGTCATTCTTAGAATATAATGACTGGCTCCTTGCTAGGAAATTCACCGCTTAACCTCACCTGGGACCTCACAGACATACTGCAGTCTTCTTATTCATTTCATATCTGTCATACTTCCCCATAAAAACAGTTACAAAAATTTTCTGAAGCTTTTTTCCAAACTACCTCCTCACTCGCAGCAGAACACACACACCCTCCTCCTTCAGTTCCCCTCCTCCTTGCTTCACACCTCCTCAGTATTTCATTCATCTTCTTTCCTCCTTCCTATCTCAGAGAAAGAGATGACCCTCCTTAATCTTTCCCATTCCTTCCCACAGCCTTCAGCAACTTCTGCCTTCCCCCACTACACAGGTTCCTTTCCTTTTGTCCACAAACATATAAATAATTCCCTAATGTTATAACAAAAAAAACCCAAAGAAACAAAACAAAAGCTTTCACTAGACCCTGACATGCTGCTATTCCACCTCTCTTCCTCTCCAGTCACTGCCTTGAGCAATCACGGGCATTTTTTCTGCCTCAACTTCCTCTGCATACATTCACTTCTAAGCCCCATGCAGTCTGGTTTCTAATCCCTCCAGCTTAATGAAATTGCTGTCTCCAAGGTCTCCTGGTTGGCTAGGTGGCACAGTGGATACAGCACTGGGCCTGGAGTCAGGAAGACTCATCTTCCTGACGTCAAATCTGGCCTCACATACTTACTAGCTGTGGGACCTGGGGGAACCACTTAACTATTTTTGCCTCAGTTTCCTCATCTATAAAATGAGCTGAAGAAGGAACCACTCCAGTATCTCTGCCTAGAAAACCCCAAATGGGGTCATGGAGAGTCGGATACAACTAAAAAAATAACCGAAACTACAACCAAGGTCTCCAAATTCAGAAATCCAACTGTGACGCTTAGTCTTCAGTCCTCTACCTTCCTACACTTGACACAGTTGACTGCTTTCTTCCTGGTACTCCTTTGATTTTCAATGACAAGGCACTCTTCTGGTTCTCCTCTTCTTTCTATAACCATTCCTCTGCTTCCTCCAAAGGCTGCATATCTTCTCAATTTTCCCCAGAAAACCTAGCAATAAATACCCTACAAGTAGTGGGTCACAAAATTTAGGAACCTTAGAGATTATCTAATCCGACTCATTCAATTTACAGATGGTCCGAGAGGTCTGGCTTCCTTCAGAATTCAGCTCAAGTCTCTCTTCTTGAAAAGGCCTTGGACTGCACCCCCACTGCTTCACCTCCCTTCTCCCACTGTTTGTGCCTTCCCCTCTGACATGACTTCCTGTTTTTAAACACTGTCTTGTATGTACATAGTTGCTTCTATGTTGTCTTCCTCATTAGATTGTGAGCTCCCTAAAGACAGTGACCATTTGCGGGTGGGAGGACGCTTTCTTTGTATCCCCAGCACTTAGCCCAGTGCCTGGCACACAGCAGGCACTTAATAAATACTTATTGTTATGGCTTAAGATCATAAAGATAATAAGCAGAGCTGGAATTCAAATCCAGGGCCTCAGGCTCCAAATTCAGGGCTCTTCCTACTATGCCATATTGCTTTTCAGTGAATGATCAGCATGGGTTGCTGATGATTGTTTTTTCATTCAGCAACCCAGAAGTCCCCATGCTCTTACAGACAGGACCATCAGGGCCCTATTCATTCTTAGAAAGATATTTCATTTCTTCCTATCAAGAAGTCCTTGCAGAGTAACAAAGTTAGAACAGAGGGCATCTAGGCTAATCCCTAATTATACAAAAATCCTCTCTATAACTCCCAACAGGGGGGCAGTCTGACCTCTTCTTGAATTCCTCCACTGAGCAGGCACTCACTTCAGCCCAATCGGCTTCTGGATAACCCTAACCTTGAGGAAGTTTTCCTGATCAAAACAGGCCTCTTTTCAAATTTCACCCACCACTCCTACTTCTGCTGTTTTGGACTCAGGGCTCTAGTTCCTTTTCCACACAAGAGTACTTCAAATACTTGAAAACTGTGATCCTTTCCCCCCACCAACGCTTTTCCTCTTCCCAAAATATCATTAGTTTCATGGCCTGATTCATTTACAGCACTGACTCCGGTCCTCTCCCCGTCCCCGATTCCTTCCCCTGCTATCAATGCCTCTCCTAAAATGTGGTGACCAGACTGACTTCAGGAGTCTAACCAAAGCAGATTATCCTTTCTACCTTTCTCAGTTTTCTATTCCATTTTGATTCTTTTCTTTATGCACATCACAATATTGATTCTTTTATTTTTTAATTTAATAATTTGCTTTCAGCTGCAAATTTTCTTCCTCCCTTGATCCCTTCCCCTCTCCAGCACTGATTCATATTGAGCCTGCAGTCCACTAAAACCCCAGATCTGTTTTCACAGGAACTACTTT